AACAGACTTTGGCTGACTTTATTGTGTGACTGAGCACTAGTCTTAGGACTTTTTTAAGGTAAACACACGTTGTCTGTAGGAAAGGAGTTCGACACGCATATTTCGATGTGATGATTAATTTTAAACTGTTAAGCCATACATGCCGCATTTTAAGAATTATATGCGTGACAAGATGGATTCTATAGCGGCAGTCGGCAAGTCGTAATCTATCGTGACAAGACGAATTTTGTTGTTCGAACGGAAATGACGTAGGGGCTTGAGAGTGGATGGGACCTGACAGAGAACACGTGCTCTCAGGCCCCTTCTGCAGCCAGACATTCGTGGACGATTCTCACACTTTGAATAAGGGGGATGTAGTAGATTGTGGAAGAGATCTGTTGATCGTGGATTGATTGGTCAGTGCCAAGCGGTTGTATTGGTAATTGATGTGTGAGACGATATGCCGTTGATGACGTGTAATAAAAGAGACACTGCTGAATCCCACAAAAGTTAGCCTCAGAGGATTTTATTACTTAGCCATAAGAACACAACACCCCTCATCTCAATGATGGGGTGGGGATTACACTTGTTGTTTTGCAAATGTTAATTGTCATTTGAGAAATGCTCCAAATCAATCTAGAAAAACTGTAATATTCTGATCCTCGGACACATCCTCTTTTTCGTCACACCAAATATGGTAACCCTACATATTGCCAGTTTGCTGTTTTTGTGTTATACAATGTTGTGTGACTATTTTGTTTGCTAATGTACTGTATCTGAAGTTACATGTGCATGAGTGCTTTCTCTTGCCAATGTACTTTACATACTGTAATGCAAAGTCTTGCAATGGTGAAATGTATGTCTTTGATATGAATAAATAACAGTTTGCTAAAGAAAAATGATCAGTCAGTGACAGAGAAAGTGTGAACTGACTACCATTCAGAATTGTGGAGCTCAGGAGCATATTCACACTGATAAACTGACTATACACTCACCTAAAGGATTATTAGGAACACCTGTTCAATTTCTCATTAATGCAATTATCTAATCAACCAATCACATGGCAGTTGCTTCAATGCATTTAGGGGTGTGGTCCTGGTCAAGACAATCCCCTGAACTCCAAACTGAATGTCAGAATGGGAAAGAAAGGTGATTTAAGCAATTTTGAGCGTGGCATGGTTGTTGGTGCCAGATGGCCCCCACAGTCACCAGATCTCAACCCAATAGAGCATCTTTGGGATGTGGTGGAACGGGAGCTTCGTGCCCTGGATGTGCATCCCACAAATCTCCACCAACTGCAAGATGCTATCCTATCAATATGGGCCAACATTTCTAAAGAATGCTTTCAGCACCTTGTTGAATCAATGCCACGTAGAATTAAGGCAGTTCTGAAGGCGAAAGGGGGTCAAACACCGTATTAGTATGGTGTTCCTAATAATCCTTTAGGTGATAAGATCTGGTGACTGTGGGGGCCATTTTAGTACAGTGAACTCATTGTCATGTTCAAGAAACCAATTTGAAATGATTCGAGCTCAAAATTGCTTAAATCACCTTTCTTTCCCATTCTGACATTCAGTTTGGAGTTCAGGAGATTGTCTTGACCAGGACCACACCCCTAAATGCATTGAAGCAACTGCCATGTGATTGGTTGATTAGATAATTGCATTAATGAGAAATTGAACAGGTGTTCCTAATAATCCTTTAGGTGAGTGTATATCTAAGCATTTAGACTCTCATGGTTAAAATGATGCTAATTGTACATTTCATTTTGGTGGCACTGACAAATTCATTGGTTGAATTATTTGGTGTTGAAACATGAGTTAATTGTTTTGGATAAATTAGACTTTTGCAGCTAAACCATAGCGTTGTGTTGTATGCATGAACTGTTTTGAGAAATGCTCTTATAGTCTTGAGAATGTTAGATGTGTTTCATGAAATGTGCAATCGAGAACATCCGTATTCATGTCAAAGACACCAATTTCAACATAGTAAGGCTCTACAGAATGTAAAGTTCACTTGTAAGAGAAAGCACTCACGTGCACATGTAACTTCTTCAGATCGCAAAACACGGTACAATAGCAAACCAAAGCGTTACCAAGTGAAAAACAGTAAATTGGCAATACAGAAATAACACGATGCTCACATACATATATCGTTTTGGGTGTAAATGTATTATTATGGGAAAATACATAATCTATTTTACCAATTAAACTAAAGCAACTGAAAATTGTGTCAAATTATGACAATTGTTCAAAACCATTTGCATATATGAAGCAAAACATTTGGGAAATTGTGTGAAGCAATGAGAAATGATGTTCTGCTGTGCAGAAGTGGGGATTACACTTCTTGTTATGCAAATGTTAATTGTCATGTGAGAAATGCTCCAAAACAATCGAGAAAAACTGTAACATAATGTGAAAATAAATATTGTAACAATATATTTGTGGATCTTTTGTTGAGTACATTTACCATATAGAAATACAATTGTATTTCTATATGAGAACTCCCACATACTGCCCTCCATGCCACCCTGCCAACATCTCTTGCCACCCCATGTAAAATTTTCTAGATCCGCCACTGGTCAAAGGTATTTCATAGCATGTGCTTCTCCGCTGTAGGTGAGGTTTTAATATCTGGCAGACAAAGAAAAGGGTGTCTGCTCAGTTGCATTGCTAGTCAATGTCATTCCAGGACTGTGTGCTCTCCCACCAAAATCATGACCTTGATATCATCCAGCAAGATCTGTTAATAAGGTAATAAGATGAAAACATTCTTCAGATAGATTATACTAACAGTCTTTAATAATCTATTAAAAAAAAAAAAAAATCTGATGGGATTTCTTTCTTTATGGTGAGTGAACCGGTTGGCCACCAATAAAATCAAGTATTTTCCATTACTCCTCTCCTGATGGTGATTGATCAGGAAACAAATTGAGATAGACTGATGGGGATCGGGTTGGGGAAGAAAGAGCGGCCCTCACACGACCGGCCGACCAGGAAAATTACCAACCGTCCTGATGGGCAGTCCACACCTGGAGTGATACAAAGGCTGCCAGATGTCATTTGGTGTTACTGGAGTATACGTTTTCACCCACATAACTGTCTCTTCCTCAGTCTATGCAGGCATGTTTTATGGTGCAAAATTATATCTGAATTTTTTTCATGCAACCTTTGTCCCTGTCTAAATTAACACCAAGAAAGCACATTTAACCAGCACAGGTGCAGCCATCTTGTTTAGGAAGAAATGATTGTCATGAATTGTGAACCATGCAAATGCTGAAATGCACTAGAAAGTGAATCAAGTTCTTTTGGAAGGTAATGGGCAATGTGTTTTCCAAAAGAGAACTGAGTTCTCTTTCTCTTGGCCCACTTTCTGGTACACTGAGCTCAATCAGTGCTCACATAAATAGCATTACCAGTATGGCATTTTACCATCTACGGAACATAGCCAAGCTTCGGAAGATGCTTTCCTTTCAAGATGCAGAAAAACGAATACATGCCTTTATAACTTCTAGATTGGACTACTGTAATGCCCTCCTTTCAGGTTGTCCATCTGGATCCCTACATAAACTTCAGTTAGTACAAAATGCAGCTGCCAGAGTTCTCACAAAAACTAAAAAATTTGATCACATTAGCCCTATCCTGTCTTCCCTGCACTGGCTACCGGTCAAGTTTAGGATTGACTACAAATTATTGCTATTGACCTACAAAGCTCTGAATGGCCTTGCACCACAATATCTCAATGATCTTCTGGTCCCTTTCAACCCTTCTCGCCTGCTTCGTTCACAAGGAGCAGGATATCTATTAGTTCCTAAAGTAGACAGGGCTGCAGAGCATTCTCTTACAGAGCTCCGCAGCTGTGGAATGGTCTCCCGGCGGATGTGCGGGATTCAGGCACACTCTCGCTTTTCAAGTCTAGATTAAAAACGCACTTGTATAGCTTAGCGTATAGGAAACCTAGTTCTGGTTCCAGCTAGTCGCTCACTCCCAGTCAGACTAACAGTATGAGGAGAAGAGCTGGGTGGGGATCGGTGTCATTGGCTTTGGATAAACTGATGCGTCAGTGCTGTCACTCTAGCTTTACACTAGAGTGCTGATGTTCAGGGAGTTCCCATGCCTGGGTTCCCGCCTGTCTCTCCCTCTTTCTCATGCTGCTATACCCAGATCTGCCGGAGCCTAGACGAATATTGCACTCGATCATTTTGCTTGCACTGCCTATGGTTTCCTCAACTCTGGCTAATACACAATTTTTCTTACTTCCTCCCTCACCCCTTCTGGGGTGTGCTCCTTGGAGCACAATGTCATTGAAGAATTTATGCCTCTGCTGCCTGCAAGACAACTACCTACACCTCTGGCAACTACCCTCCAACCTGCCTGCCCTTGGCTCAACGCGATGCCTCGCCATCCTTCGATGCGGCTGTGCCTCTATTAATCCTGCCATCGTGCATCAAGCACCCCGTGCCTGCACCGGTCGGCTACTGCATTGAGACTTATATTTCAACCCCTGTATTAGCTTAGTCATATCATCTTGTTTGTTTGACTCATCTGCCGGCCCCTGGAGGATGGGCTCCCCCTTTGGGTCTGGTTCCTCCCAAGGTTTCTTCCTCTTAGGGAGTTTTTCCTTGCCACCGTTGCCTTTGGCTTACTCAATGGGGGGTCCTTACGAGGCAGAAATGTAAAGCGCATTGAGACAATGTAAAGTTGTGATAATGCGCTATATAAATAAAATTGAATTGAATTCTTTTAAAATGAGAATACACTCAAATCCATTGCGCACGTCCTTGTATTTTTAACTTTCCTGTAAATCCATTAAAGTTAATCCATGCAGCACATTATATCTACCTCATCCCCCATACAATAAAAATTCTGTTGCTATTGATGCAGGCTGTGCATTGGAGAAAACATTTGCCAAGATCAGATTACAAATATTAAAAATAAGCTTTCTATGAAGTGCTCAATGCAGAGAAATTTGCTGTGACAGGAAATGTTCCAAAATAGCTTTCAAAAGTACTGCAGGGGAACAGGAAGCTATGCATAGTGGAGCAAACTGTGAGAATCCACAGTGTTAATTTCTCACACGCTTGCCAATGTGTTCCAAAGCCACAATTAAAACCAAAAGGCCGTGACAGTGCTTCAGAGAGCCTACTGCCGTGTGCAGTTTCCAGTTTCTGTGTTCATGTCCTATTTTGTCCTAGTGCACTTTTTGTACCAGCAGACTCTTCACACTGGATAAAAGCATTTACTGTGTTACTCAGTATAAATGCAGAACATGTGTAAAGCAACAGATCATGTAGAGATGCCAAATAGCATAACCACATCTCTTTGGATTGCAGGAGAATACCACACAGCATGCAAATACACAAATATCACACATGCATAGCAGAGACAGGAGTCAGACCCCCCAACCCTAGAGGTGCCACGTACTGTATAAAAATTAAAAACAATAAAGTGAACTTTCGTACTCAGTAAATTAGCACACTTAAACAAAACTATGGCAAGAAAACAAAGCCTTAATTTCCTCACAACTGCCCATGTCACTTTAGTCCCTAAAACATGTATGTTTATGATTACTTTGTTTTGTACAAGATCATAGCTCAAATGCAAATGTGATGAAAATCATCTGATATGAACTGACGAGTGTGTTAGCATGCTGCCTACTGAAATGAGATTAATATAAACTGCAAAAAAAAAAAAAAGTCCAGCTTAACTCCTCACAGCTGAGTAAGTGTCTGAGAGCCTGTGTCTCGCGTTTGATCTTCCTCTGCAGGTACCTCTGCTTTCTTCCACAGCCGCTTAAACTGCTTCTGGCAGATCTTCTTGAAGGTTGGGCTGTAGAAATAGTAGACAATGGGATCTAATGCGCTGTTGAGGTAAGTCAAGCTGATCATGTAGAAGAAGACTGTTTGCAGGACATCGTAGTCTTCACAGAGTCCAGGGTAGAAGGTGACTTTTATCCAGATGACCACCTGGGTCAGGTTGCTGGGAAAGAAGCATAAGAAAAACACCACTACTACCACAATGATGAAGCGAAGTGTCCTCCTGATCCTTTGGTCCTTGTCCATCTGCCTGTTCTTCAGCTGTGTGATGATCCGGATGGTGCAGAACAGGATTATGGCCAGAGGCAGGTAAAAGGAGAAGACAAAGATAAACTTGTGCCAAGACAAATGATTGGATGTCTCGCAAATCTGGAAGCTCTCGCACTGGGTCAAGTTCCCGCTCTTGGTGATGTGCGTGTCAAACATCAGGTGGGCCGTCTGGGAGATGGTCAGCGCCCAGATCGCACAGGCAGCACCCACGGTCTTTCGGACAGACATCGAATTGAGAGGGTGGTGCGGGTGAACCACCCGCAGGAACCGGTCCACAGCCACTGCTGTCAGGAACAGGATGCTGCCACAGCGGTTCATGGCCAGCATGAACAGTGAGATGCGGCAGAAGACATCCCCGAAGATCCAGTCTCTCCCCATCAGGTAGTAGCTGGCACGGAAAGGCAGGATCACGTTCAGGAGAAAGTCAGCAAGGGCAAGATTGAAGAGGAAGACGGTGCTGCTTTTCCAAGGTTTTAGGCAAAAGCAGAAGATCCAGAGAGCCACACCATTGCCTATCATTCCCAGGATGAACTCAATGCAAATTATTGAAGACAAAGATTCAAACTGACCCCCACCAAACACACAGCAGTTGCTAGATGCGTTCATCTTACTTGATAGAGGAATGTGATTTTTTTTTTGGACAGCGCTACTTGAGAGACAGGAAACAAGACGTAGATGGGGAAGTTCATGGTGTCAACCATACTGTGTAAAAAGCATTCAAATCACATGAAGACATCGTCAAACAAACTAACCACAAACCAATGGTCTTCATAGCATTAATGCACACTCATAACTGCATGGTTTTGAAATACAAGAAGAAACTAGAATGCCTAGAACAAAACCATACAAGCATGATCAAAAAAATCTACATAAAAGGCAGGGTTTGAAATTAAACATGTAAGTATACACACACACCCACAGAAAAGGATGATTTAAAACTGTTCTTGACTGTTGCCTTTGAGTGTTTAAATGTTTAAATAAACACAGAGAAACCAAACAGATGAGACCAAAACTGATTATTTATTAACCTAAAGATTGCCTTAGTGCAGCAGAACTGGAAGAATTCACAATCAAATGAGACCTTTGGCAACCAAGACAAAAGCAGCTGTACAGAACCGGAAAATACCATGAAAAAAGGGGCCAAGTCCACTGTTTCTAAACAGTAAATAAAAGATATAAAATGCCAGTTGTATGTGGGTATATTTGGCCTGGTCATTCGGTCATGTTGCGATTTAGTAAAAGTGCACACTGGATTTTCACTTCTTCACCTCTCCAAGGTCCTCGATGCTGTCATCATCCACCTGCAGAAGGAACCAGATGTGTCAGGGCAGGAAAATACCCTCTTTGGGTCACCCATTAAAAATGTAATGAAATTGCTATTGCCAAAGAAAATTTTTTTTTTTTTAGATTTAGCAGGAGAGCAGTGTTTGGGAAGATTTCAAAGACACTGATATCTTCTGTTATTATCCATTCATTCATTTTGTAACCACTCATTATTGACTCATTATGGAGAGGCCCTGGAGTCTATCTGAGGCGGCATGGGGTATGCGACAGGGATACAGCCTGGATGGACACTCCATGCACAGAGCACAGGTGGGATTTGAATCCCCAGCCAGGTAGTGTAATACACCAGTGCTACCCAATGACCCACCACGCTTGCAGCTACAACAGTGTTTAAGCTGGTGCCTTTGCTCTGCATCGTCGGGGCTCAGAAGGAAATGGCACAGGATGACTGAAATGTACACAGTAGCAGTAAACGACACCAGTGCTTCCTGTGTGAAGACCAAGCTGACTGCACACATGCTAACAGGCAATGGACCTTGTCCTTGACCCATTACCTCAGGCCACTTGTCCTGAATGACATCGATGATCTCGTCTGTAAAGTCTCCCTGAATGATGATTTCATCCTCTGCCGTTACCGAAGCACCGCAGGAAAATTTCTGAGCGAAGAACCTCTGCGCTTCTTTAAGGTCGATGCCTAAAGGCAGGAACACAAGGCATTAAAATTAATTGAGGAAGCGCCCTACAGAGCTCTCCCAGGTTCAATGTGCCGTACGGTGTCTGTGGCAAGAAGGCAAAAAAGCCCCACTTACGTCCTCCCCCTCTAGCTCCTCCAAACTCATTGTGCCCCTTCAGATGGAAGATTCCTTCTCAGCTACCTAGTTTCCTAGGCCATTTAAAATTGCTCCCTTTCACTGCCATTTTGCGGTGCTGTTTGTATTTTCAACAGCAAATCTGACGCAGTATGTAGTGTAGAGATGCACCGATACCAATATTTGGATCAGTATCGGCGCCGATCCAGACATATCTGACGGATCAGGTATCGGCCATGCGTGACCAATCCACGTCCAATACTTACTTATTTAGTTTTTGGCAATCAATTGCACGACAGCTCTTTCCCATTTTACATGTGTTTTTTGCGGCATTCAAATCGAACGCTATCGCTGCCCCTCAGTCTTTTTTGCTACTTAATGGGTGAGTACAGTGACTTCCGCCTGCTGTGACATGCATACCCATCGCAGTACGAGGAGCGCAAGATAAGATGTGACGATCTGGGAGTATTATACGCTTTTAACAGAAACCAGTAGTAAAATAAAGTTTTGAGGTGGGAATAGCGTTTAATGGACAATCCCATTTAACAAAGCACACACAACTGCGAGACAAAACAAAGCAATGGATGATTTGGGAGTCGCTAACTTAATTGGACTGTTTTGCGAACTC